CACACACTAAACTTAGGGGCTGGATCATGCAGTTGCTCAGCTTATGACTCTCTCTCTCCCTCCTTCCCCCCCTCTATCTCTCACTCTCTCTCTCTCAGACATTCCACTGCAAAAGTCGTAAAAATCCCTTCCTGCCAACATGGTGCCATAGTTCAGTAAGAAAGGTAGCAGGTTCGTCGGTTAAAATGGTCAAATTACCAGTCCGCTTGTTTCCGTGCATGGTAGAACAGCCACAGCTTCAAATCCCTTGGAGGGGGGGGGGGGGGGGGGCGGAACCAAATGAAGCTTTATTTAACGATACTTATTCAACTGCATAGTTTTTATAGCATCGAATGAGAGGATGATTGTAAATGATGAATTGGAAAGGATGTTGTTGGAAGCGTTGGTGTTGTATTTTAAACCAAGGTCCTCTGCAAAGACAAGGGACAAACGTAGATGTCTCAGGGAGATACGAACTTCGGACTTCACGAATATGAAACAGGAGTTGTAACAACTACTCTATAAAACTGGTTGGTTTAACGAAATTGGGTTCAAATATAAACTGCAGTAAATGGGCTGCTTCGAAAACTTTGATTTGATTTGTGTTTCCTTCGTCTGGATTCATGAGGCAACGAGTGGAAATATACAATGTGAAAATTCTATCTGATTTGTATAAATTCGGTGCTCGTATCAGTTTGAATTATTTGCACTCAGATCTTGCATAGCGTGGAAGAGATGAAAATGTAAAACAAAATATATGAATCTGGAAAACTGTCGAGAAAATATCACTTGGAAAACCTAAGGATATATAGGAGGATAATATTACTACAAATTGTAAAGGAAAGGGCTTTACGAGGACTGGATTAATCTGGCTTTGAATGGGTATCGGCGAAAGACTGCCGTGAACAATGAACTTTGGATTTTCATAAAGGGCATTGGGTTTTTTGATTAGCTGAGCGACTGTTAGCTTATCAAAAATGGTTTTGCCCCACGGAGTTAGTTAGGTAGGTAGAAAATTCTAATTAGTATAGGGTGTAGAATTGAGCAAATACCGACCGACAAAGAAATTTGTCATCAGGAAGACATAAATAGGCTATTTTTTTAATTTAATTTGTAATGTTCGCACTCGAACTACAATGATAGTATTGAAACCACGAATATAGTAACAACAACAACAACAAAATTCGTGGAGTTGTGTTCTTGTTAGAAAGCTAGTCAAGAAATGTTCGGCCTATTATGGAACCAGGAGGTTATTTACCGTGTTAAAAAAGTCTAAATAATAATAAAAAAATTAATCCACGAACATGCTAGTCCATTCTAGAACCATTATTTTTTGTGTGAGTGTAAAAAATAAGTTCATTCAAGCAAATAATTTGTACCTATTTAATAGTTTTTGAAATGTTCTCGCTATGTCCTGCAGCTTTCTATCAAATCGAAATAGACGTGCCCAGATTAGTCTGAAACAAAGTATTTACTCATTTGCATAGACCTGAACGCTGATAGCGTTTTTTGCATGTGAAAGGACGCGATCTTGTGTTAGCTTGGGAATGTGTTTTTCCTTACATTATTTAATTACTCGTTTCAAGTACAGGAGTTAAATGACGTCGACTGTGGCTTTGAGGAAATGAGCGTAAATGGCTAGTAGCTTCTGACTTGAATGGAGAAGTCTGGGGTCTGTATCAAGGCACCATTCTGTATCTGGAGAGAATTATTTTACGTCCAGGTTTGCATGTGTATTGACATTTTTTCAATCCCGCAAGCTTTTATGCAAAGAATTACACATTATAAATACACGACTTGTTTTTTTCAACGTATGTTTAATTAATAGTAACGAATGTTTAGTTGTGGGGTGATACACAGAACTTGCTTCTTAATTAACTTTGGAGCCCAACAGATTCCGCCACTGTGCACAGCTTCCTCTAGCAAGTTTAACAAGTTGAAAGTTTGGAGGGTGCAGAATATGTTCTTTATCCTTTTTTATGATTCTTTCTTCTACTTATATTACTGCAACATAACATTTTTTCCCACTCCTTCCTGTTCTTGAGAGAAAGGTACCGGCATAGTGAAAAAAGTCTTTTGTATAAAGGAGTTATAGAAATTCATTCGAGTGTAGCTAAATGACAATTCTGGGATCATATAAACGTGACCATGAAGTGACGTAATAGATTTGTGCATTTTCACACTGTGTTCACTTTAGATAAAGTATGGGATGGAATTCGTATCGTGCATTAGCCGATTTAACAGTCAGCAAGGAAGACGAAGCAATATTTTTTTCTTCGAATTTTGGCAGAAGCAATCTTAGACACTGGATAAAGTTCCAATGAGACTTGATTTTTCTGCATTCACTTTAATTTCGGTACTGAAATCTTATTGTGTAACTTAACTTTTTTAAATTTCATAATTTTCAATAACACATTATTGTTATTATTTTGTTGTCACAAAATCAAGAAGGAACTTATGAGTGGGTGGGGCATCCATCCTGTTGTGATAGATGAGACATTGTACAAAATTGTAGTCGGAAAACCTGAAAGGAAAAGATAAATGGCAACACCTGGACGGAGATGGAAAGCTAAAATTGAATAAAGCAGTAGAATGTGCGGATTAGATTCAGCTGGCTCGCGATAGGAATTAGAGTCTAAACTTATGCATATGATAATGAACTTTCTCGTTTCATATAAAGGCTTGGAATGACTGAGCTTCTATTGCCTTCTTCAGGACTTTTTTCAATACGGTGGGCAAGCAGAATTCATGTACAACGTAAGAATTATAATTGACATGTAATCATTAAAGGGAAATTGTCCATGAAGACCCTCCAATACCAAATTTAATCGAAATCGGCTGTGTAGTTTTACTGTGGTTACTATCTTAATGTATCCGGATCCGGCTTAAAAACGTCCACTCAACTTAAATGCTAGCCTTAAGAATAGGACAGAAACGGAAAACTGCCGTTTTATGTCCGAACAAGTTTTTCTAAAAACGACCAACACACATTTTTAAATTACTCTCGTGTTGTGAACAACCCTGAGTCACTACTTGATCTGTATCTCTCAAATGTGTTTTCCATGTTCATATAATAGTTCTTCGATCAAGTCTCGGAAACACGTTACGTACCCTGTCTTGTGTGTCGTAAAATTCCACTTATTTTGTTGCGGATTATAGTGACGTTGCATCAGCTTTCTGTCTGATAAAAATTCATCGTTATTTTAGGAAACAGGAATCACATAGCAAGATATTTGAATCTGGAGTTTGGCGACATATTTTAAATGTTTAATGTTTACCTGCCAACTCAACGGCCGGTGTTCGTTTCCCGGTAAGGACAGGAATTTTTCCTTCCGCCACTGCAGATGCCCACCCTCTTCCACCAGGCGTGTCAAACTCAAGTGTGTACTAAGTGCCGCTTATAAAGAGGTGACTGTCCATGGTCCATCATATGGGTGGGGAATATCACAAACGCCTACTTTTATTAATTCCAAGCTCTAAGCCTGAGATACATTTCTCGTGACTGTATTCACACACTAGCACACACAAATGTTAACTTGTCAGCTTCAGAGAAACAAATATCTACATAAAACTTCGAAGAGACCGGGAGTCTGACAAACTTGTAGGGCGTTCAGCGCTGTAACAGCTTACAAATCTTTCAATGCTGTCGGCATGGTCGTCGCAGTTTAGAGGCCAACACTTTTTACTTCCTGTCCATGAGGATTCTTTTTCAAATCTCAGCCCAGAGGCTGTATCCTCAGTTTTTCCAGGGAAAATTTTGAAGCAGGACAATATCTTCTTGTTAACAACTCATAATTTACCTGTCAGTTTACGCTACGTAACCTATCCACTTGATAATGCTTCGTTAAATAAGATTATAAAGTAACGAAACTGACTAGTTGGCCTAAAGGCAAAATTATTGAATATTTTTACCTACCTTGAAAACACTTCTTAAAATAGGTTATGATTTGGTTTCATTTTATTCAATAATTTAATAACAATATAATGATGATCATCGCCCTGATGACGGAGGCAGTATGACCTCTGAAACGTTGGTAAACATCGACCAGACTACACAGCGCAACAACCCAGAAGACAGAAATCTTTTAAATTATCTGGCTTAGGATACGGACAAGTGAACTTTAATGAATCCTCGGATGGTGTAATGTTTTGATTAGCTGAGCGACTATCTTCTGAAGATGTGCTTTGCCACTTGGTGTTAAAGATAAAAGGTAAAGTTGCCTCTTCAAGTACATTACCAAATGAAGTTATGATGAGTGGACCAAAGCTCCACGCATGTCTTATCTTGGCGCTAGAGCAAGATGAGAAAACAGCTGTTCCTGGGTTATTGCGCTGTGTAGTCTGGTCGATGTTCCTTCCTTCTCTCTGCCTCAGAGGAAAGAGCCTTAGACAGGATGTTACATAAGATCCGTATCTGATCTGCAAGTGGAAATGAAGAGAATTCCTTCTTCTTCTGGAAGTTATTGTACCTTAATTAGCTCTACGGAGAAGCTGATAGTCGCTCAGATAGCCTTGACTCCTCATCTTTGATGGAACTAGAAGCTTTATAACCTTGTTCAGAGCCCGACACTGGTACCCTTCTAGGCCAGTTGAACCCAATCCTTGGTTTATTTTTAACTACTTCTTTTCATAGGTAGAATAGGATGTGGCAATAAATTATTTATCGGAAAAGATGTAGATGAAAATGATCGTGATCTATTTTAAGTCATTATTCAAGAATCTGTTGGGAGAGACTGTCAAAAACCATACAATTCATGGGTCAGAAGAGCCGGCCGGTTGCTTATGAAACGACATCTTCCGAATATGAAGCAAGGACGCACGTAATTCGAGGACTGACTAAACAATTTTATGCTGTTTTTCAGTCTTTAGGCAAATTCTAAAACAGTGCCTTGAAGCAGGTCAATACGGATTTATCTTCTTTGTTTTCAGTAAAAGTAAAGCAATGATGAAAAGTAATGCCCCCCCAAGACACAAACCCTCCTAGCAGCGTGAACTTAACTGACTCGTCGTTTGACTTTCAGGGACTTCCGTGTGAAGTCTCACAGTTCTGTCACCAGAGGTCTCTGAATTACAGCCATGAAAATGGCGAAGTGCGAGGAGGAGATTTCAGTGTGGAATAAACAGCATGCAGTGATCTAGTTTCTGACTGCAGAAAACGTCCCATTTCGAAGAATTCTTCCTGACATGTAAGTAGATTTTTCTGAAACACAACAATGCGAGTTGTCGCACGAGCGCACGCGAACGACTGCAGAAATTAACTATATTTGTATAATAATTTTGGGCCACACATCCCAGACTTGGCTCCATCTTACTTCCATAATTGTTACTCACTGAAAAGGCTGAAGAAACTACAAAGATCTAGTTTGCTGTTATTCAAACATGGATAGACATTAAAGAGAATATTATATAGTTTTTGCCTTTGAATTTACACATTATTAAAAGCCTTGAAGGTAACGTCACACAAAAGTTACACAATATTGGTAATTTAATTTTAAATTTCTGTTTTTTCTCCTATAATCTGTAGTTTATATGCAATAAGTTATGACATCATCTCAAAACCTGTACTTACAAGATCACCAGGATTAACATGTATGTCTTCAATATCGTATTCACATTATGTTGTTATTTTATTCACAGTTAGGTATATTTATAGTGGCTTCGATTATTATTGGTTTTAAAATATTGCACCTGGCTTTCAAACGTATTTTTTGTTTGTCCGCTAGAGTAACGTGATCTTTGTTCGTCTCTCTCCCTTTCTCAGTGGATCCTATTCACAGTTTATATAACACCACGTCTTTGCTGTTTCTATTGGTGCCATTTCAACCGTAAGATTGAAAGTTTAAGCCTTAAAAGATAGCTAAGCTTCTTCGTATCAAGTTGTCTAGTGTCCAACTTACTATAAAAATATGCCGTAGGGTTGCGATAAGCTGTTAGTACAGTGAGGTGGCTTTTGAAGATAAATTAGACTGTCTGTAGAAAATCTGTATGTAACGAATCATTTGGAAAAAATTAAGTTTCTGGTAAAAGCATTAACAAAAATGAAATTTATTTGATTCGGAGAATAAATTCTAGACGTTCTTACGATATCCAAGTCCGCTTTCCGAATCACTACATATCATAAATCATTAATAATGTTCCTATATAAGTTCCGTAATTTATACTCTTCACACAAAGTTATCGGGATGATGAAACGAAGGAGGGTGGAATTGGCAGGGCATGTAGTGAGTATGTAAATAGGAGAAATGTGTTTAAAGTTTTGGTTGGGAAACCTGAAGGGCAGAAATCACTCGAAAGAACTAAGCGTAGATGGGAGGATAATATGCAAAAATGGATCTTAGGAGAATAGTGTATGAGGATTTGAACCGGAATAATTTGGTTCAGGATAGAGAATGTAAAAGAGGGGTAATTTTTTGACTAGTTGAACGACCATCATCTTTTTAAGAATGGCTCGGTTCCGTGGAGTTAGTTTAATTAATATTGACTCTTGTTTTGTACCGGTGGGACATGGTGTCTCTTTCTTCGGAAAATGAGTGTTTTAAGACAAAGTATTAAGGAACTTAGCTGGGCTTAAAGAGAATGAAGTATCGATTGGGGTATTCTGGGTTGTGACAGCGTGTAGTCTTGTAAGTGGTTACAAAACCACAGTTAATATTTTCACCTTCGTTAATCTCAAATATCGTACAAGAACGAAGTAGCTTACTACATTGCATGACGCGAAAGTAAGTGACGTTTATTAGATTATTTAATATTGTTAGGATAAAAGATTAAGTCTGTAGTGGTTCTAGGATGGATAACACAATAAATACATACATAATTTCGGTGGAGAAGCCTGTTAGAAAACATGTGTTTGGAACACAAAAAAGTACTCATTATATTAATTTACAGTACATAAAAGAATGTATGAGAAGTTTGAATAGGACCATTCCAGATTTGGTTTACTCTGTACCCTGATTCCATGGCAATATCAGAATTTAGGGGTATCGTATTCGAATTAAATGTTATTTGTTTGTGTTGTGTTATATCTATCAGTCAGCGTGAATAACTGACATGCCTAGGTGTCTTAATTTTTTAAACATAAAGTATTATTCCATGCGGTCGCCCTGATAAAGGCCCATCTGTTTCTCGAGTGAAAATAATTGCTTTCCTCTACATTAAACTACCCGGTTTGGGAACAGACACTTAATAAGCACCAAGAACACGAAGTAATGAGTATGCCTTGGAACACACGGCAACTGATTGCTCCCGATAGCGATAAAAATATTTAAGCATGTGAACTCTGTAATTGATTTGGAAGTTGGGGGGGGGGGGGAAGGGTGAGGTACCTGTGGAAGTTCAGTCCAAAAGCCTGTCTGCCAATTAACTAAGAAGAACTGTTGCATAAACATCATTAGTGCAGTTTGGCGATTGGTTGATTTAAATAATTGCAAGATTTTGGTTTACCTGTAAAACTGTGTTAGTTGTTACATATCCACACATAAATGCACGACTCAGGTTTTTTAATGCTTGTCGTGCCGTACCCTGACGTGTCTTGTGCAGTACATGTTTCACGTTTGTAACATTTACGAAACATCAAAATAATTTCGCGGAGCAACAGATCAAAACACAGAGTCGATAAAAAAAAAAAGGATGTAATGAAAACGAACAAAGGTAAGTACAACGTGAAATCATAACTGAATATAAGGACGACACATGTAAATAATCTATGAAGATGTTATTAGTGTTTTATTCGCTTTAAAATTCAGCAATATTAGAATTTGCCAACATTAAGATAATGTGCGCCAACGTGAACAAAATAATATAAAAGTGGACCTCATGATAGCTGCATAGTAGCCGAAACATGTTGTTCAAAAAGTACATGCTTTGGTAAGATAGTGCAATGCCGCAAAAATGTAGTAGTTTAATAAACAATGGTTGTATGAATGTGATGGTGTGACTGAATTATAATTAGATCTGTACAGCACAATTCTTGATGAGCTAATAACATTCGATAAACTAGAAATTTCTTTCCTTTTATGTAACACAAAGGTTCATTACCGTGTTAACAAAAGCCCCCCCACTCGATCCTGTCCTGGACCTCATGTAACCAATCACGTCACACTGCCTTTTGAAATTTTTTATATTATCTTTCAGATATCCCAAATGGTCGGTTTTCTTCAGGTTTTAAGAATAAAATATTGTATAAATTTTTATCTTGTTACATGTTCGTATTTTTCTTTATTTGATTGCCCTTATAGAGTTTGTTGGATAATATCAATTATAAAGACCGTTATAATGCATTGAGACGTGTTAAAGTGCTCTTTTGGACTCTGTCCATCATCTAAATTATAAAATTACAGAATTTCGAAAGATGGACGGGGACCTATCTGTTAGGCCTCCTAGTTGAGCTATCCACAACATGGATCTGAACCTGGTCTGACAAGTGAGGCTAACTCAAAGAGGGGGCCCGACAGACAGGTTTTCTGAGTGAGTTTTGAGGTTCTAAGGTGGCTGTCAGGGCGACAAGCCCAGATGACAGAGGCAGCACTCACCACTGAAACGTTGGTAAACTTATAGTAGACTACATGACGCAACAACCCAGAAGACAGTCATCGGGCTCAAAATAAAATATGAATATTAGGCTGTGGTGGGTCATCATATTTTGTCAAATCCGCCCAATGGAACATTTCTCTCATGTGGACAGGCGGACAGACATGCCAACAGGCGCTGGGCGCTGTTCTATTTTTCTTCTTCCATTCCATTATTTATTTATTTTTCTTTTTACTTTCATTTTCTATTATTTCTGCTTTTTCTTTGTGGACGCTTCCCAAAATACATCAGCCTATCAAAAAAGCAGCATTGCTTTTGATGAAAGTGGAGATAATAAGACGGGCAATTTGTTGGGTATTGTGGCCTGCCGTAGCCATCGGGTTTGCATGTCATGCGGCCAGATCACCCAGCAGGTTCGTCTTTCCTTAAATTTATAATTACAGTGGATGTACTGTACATGTGCATGATGGGATTGCATGCAAGTGTCAGTTTGGTCCGGATTATTGAGACGAGAGCATTATCGCTGGCAGCACGCATGTGAATATTAAAACACACCCCTAAGCATTCTTTCTTTGTCCTTATTATATCGGTGTTATTACTTGTTAACTAATTTTCTTACACAAGAGCACGGCGCTTTCATCTTTAACCAATGGGTGCTGCATTTTAATTCATTATTGAAGATTCATGTGGGATCTGTAAAGGGGAATTCATTTTCGTAAGCACTGCTCTTACCTCGTATCCGTCCTAAGTTACTGCCTTACTCAATGCAAGAGATTTGATGTTCGTAAACCCGTGAAGATGTCAATAGCGGTCTCCTTGGTTATGACTTCGTGTGATCTTGCAGGCTGGTAACCGCCTACAAGACAACACGTCATTACAAAACAGACCGCTTTTCTGAAGTACCAGCTTCAGCTTCAACTGAATACAGAAGCAATACGTTCCTCAGAAACATTGGTAATCATCTACAAGTCTACGCGACATAACATCCCGGAAGACCATGGTCGACGTAGTTCATTCACTTTAATGAAGTTTGCGTGTGGTAATACGACGACAGAAAGGCTTTATATGAAATTAAATAAACTTAAGTCCATTTAACACTTTAGAGTGGGGCTTAAAATGAAGCAGACTACGAATGACGCTATGAAGTTGGACATTCTAGTGAAGAAATAGGAGTACGTATTCATAACATTAGCGCTAGATAGAGATGAGTGGTTAATGTTTGATTTGAGGTTTTCACAGCGGGGAGTATGAAGAGTTCTGTCTTCTGGGTTGTTGAGCCGTGTAGTCTGGTCGATGTTAACCAACGTTTCAGAGGTCATACTGCCTCTGTCATCAGGGCGATGAGTATGAAGATTTCTGTCTTCTGGGTTCTTGCGCTGTGTAGTCTGGTCGATGTTAACCAACGTTTCAGAGGTCATACTGCCTCTGTCATCAGGGCGATGAGTATGAAGATTTCTGTCTTCTGGGTTCTTGCGCTGTGTAGTCTGGTCGATGTTAACCAACGTTTCAGAGGTCATACTGCCTCCGTCATCAGGGCGATTCAATTGGTAAACACCTACCAGACTACACAGTGCAGCAACCCAGAAGACAGAAATCTTCTTGAGTGGTTAACTTCACACCCTGGCGGCTTTATCAATGTTAGAAGAGCCGTTGGTTGTCC